CCCCCCCCCCCCCCCCCAACAAGTGCTGCAGACGTTTTACTGCCTAAGAGGTTGCAGCTTCAAGCTTGGTATTAATAGCCATCCATGATGAACATAGTCTCTTCTGAGTCCAGCCATCTTTTAAATATGTAGTATTCACCATCAGCCTGACCTGACACTTCTCTGAACGTCTTTGGTAGAAAGTAGACAGACCCCGTTTAGGTAGATGAAGCCATCTCTTGTGAGACAGTCACTTTTTCCATTTCTAATCCCATTGCTCAAACTAGAAATAGCTTCCTTCACTTTCATTAGCACCTCAAAGTTTGCTTGTTGGATTTTTTTTTTTTTTAAATGCTGTTCCTCCTAAAGAGTTCAAGGCACAGGGGATTACAGCAAATATTGTTTTCTCATCTAAATGGTTTTATTCAACAAGCAAAGAGCAAACCAATTAGAGAAATTTTTTCTCTTCAACTGTTTATCAAGTATGTTGTTTTACTTTTAGCAGGTTTATTCTACAGCAAAATTTCATATTTCTTTTACATATAGACTTCCCAAGGGCACAAGAACTAAGCATTTGTTTTGTTTGAGAGATAGACTGCTAAAGGTGTAGAAATGTTCTCATTGAATTTTAAAAGGAAAAATTTAAAAAGTAGTGGGATATTCTGTTCTGCTTGCAGTTCTTTGGATCACATCTCAACTTTGTGAGAGGTCATACATTCCTACAGAGTTACAGATATTCTGCTTTTATACAAATAATGTAAAGTGTATAAAACAAAAATCAAAGTGTACTTTAAAGGGATTTTTTTTTTTAAGAAATAGTCATTTTCTCATCAAGTATATAAACCCAAATTATTATACCTATTTTATTAAAAGCAAGTTACCACGCTTACAATCATTACAGGGTTATATGGGTTTAATTGGCATAAACTTGAATAAAATCTCAGATTATATCAGTTATAATTTGTCAGTTTTGGAGGTATATGAAAAATGTGGTAATGTATAAAAATAGAAATGAGTTTTTTACTTGTTTAAAATCACCTTTGTGTTTATAACATAAAATTGCTTTTAGCTGAGGAATAAAGTTGACTAAGGGTTCTGTTGGTGGCCTGACAGTCAAATCAAACCAATCCACACCATTTCCTGAAATATTTTTGAGGCTAATTTATAACTTTACATCCTGACACAAGCTCATTAGCAGTTGTATTCTCCCACAGTAGCAGCTTCTGAAACTTGAATTAGATGCATAGCTCCTATTAACCTTGATCTCATAAACCTCAATTTTAACTTTATAGCTCTATAAACTTAGCATTGTTTTCAGTGACAAGTAAACATACAGAGAGGGGACCGAAGATAGTTCATAGCCCTTTGCAGAATATGCCATCAGTGGGCATGAGCACCTGCTAGCCAGCAATGTTTTTCATTTTAAAAAGCCCCAAAGTTGTAAAAAGCCGATTTATAGTTAAGTGGGTTATCTTAACTATCTTCCAAGTGAGAATTACAGTAGCTAAGGAAAAAAGGGGTGTTTAAATTTGTTTGAGTAGTAAAAGACAAGCTGGTAAAATTCAATCCAGAATAGTCTTTTATATTCCCTGTGAACCTGAAGTAAGTGGTTTCGTTAACCAATAGGTTCTGCTGCCTTGCAGAGTTGGTGCCAAAACTTTAAGTATACAGTCACCTAGTTTTGAATTGATCTATAGTAAAAGTTAAGGTGTCTCTAATTAATAAGCAAGTCACTAGCTCTAATAGGCACCTGTTTGCACTGCCCTCAGTAGCAGGATGAGTTCATCCATGCTGCTCACTTTTCCGTATAGCCCAGGCAACTGTATAGATTTCTTTTGAACAAGTCATGCTGAGTTAGAGCTGCAGAGCAGAAGGCAGTGAAAGAAGGCACAGTCCTAGTGTCATGTGGCAGTAGGTGTTTTCCAGAGAAAAAAGATACACAAAAACAGAGTAGTCTCAGGAAAAGACTACATCCCAACAAAAATCCAAATTAAAGAAAAGAAGCCCTAGGGAACAAAAACACTAGAAAGTATCAGTTTGGGTTATTTTGATTAAGAAAAAACAAAATTAAAAAAATTTCTTTTTGCTTAGTAGCCATTTCTGTCTTTGGAGAAATGTAAAGGGAAACAGCCTTTTGTCAGGCCATTGGACTGGAGGTAAAAACGACGTAGTCCCTCCTCTCGCCCTGCTCTCTTCTTGGCATCACTAGCATTCAAAAGGACATTTGTTGGCTCTTCCAGGAAAATACACCAGACACACCTGTTCAGGATGGCTATCAGGACTGACACAAGCAAGAAATCTCAAGAATGGCTCAAATCATGGGTGAAAGAAGACTGGGGGCACATTATTTTTCTACCCTCAAGTAAAGTTGAAGTTGTCCACCTTTATAGAAAAAACAACAAAACACAAAACTCAATCCCTAGGTATGAATAGTTAGATAAGTGGATTCATATTCTTAATTACTCTTAATCCCACAAGTTATGGGTGATCCTTAGAATATAAAGCTGCAGGCAGAAGACCATGGGAAATTAATTCACTCACAAATCACAGTGGAGCTTGGCAACCTGTACTCCAACTACCCGTATTGCTGTGCACGCTGAAATTAACAATGCAAATGTGTTCAAGGTTACTTCATAAGCATATCAAGCACACAAAACCTTGTCAACAATCTGAAAAATCAAAAAATATCTTTTAAAGAAGCAGGGCTTTTAAAAACTGCACGGTGGTATATGTATTCTTACTGTCCCATCACCACATGAATACACTGAACTAAATCCTGGAGATGTGGCAATGGAGAGGTGCCGCTTATCCTCTCTTTAAGCTGCAGTTCTTTCTTGGAGAGTGAGTTATAGTGATACCTTGTGTACACAGTACAACTTTTGTTTATTCCTGAATTATATCATCTCTGCCCTGCTTTACTGGCATCACTTTTTCCTTGTGGGACACTGTCAAAAGATTTCTGCAGTTTGCATTGGTAATTCTTATTCACAGCAAGCATAGACTTTCATTACAAGATGTGCTCATTTATAATTGCTGGGATGGCCAGTTTTTATTCTCTTGTTAAGAGTAGCTCTAAGATTGCATTTTATTCCTAACAGTCAATTTATCATCATAAATTGATGAGACAGAACACATTTCTCAGATGTACCAAGGAAAATGCACAGAAAAAAAAAAGCATATAGAAGTATAATGTGAAGCATATAACAGTACGGTGGGTCATTAGAGCAATGATTTCATGTTATACCAAATTGCACATGCATAATGTGTAAAGTGTGATGTCACTTACTGTACTTGGACTACACTACTCCATCAGAACACCTGGTAACCTGGACAAATCTCCACAACCAGCAAGGGTCCTGGCGGTTCCAGTAGCCATAGATGAACTGTCAAAAATTTCATTTATTTTCTTTCCCTCCATGATAGTCCTATATTTAATGAATTCTTTGTATTACATATTATAACCCACATACAACCTGATTAATGACACTTGCACAGGGGCCAGTTCTTTTCTCATCATGCCTCCTTCTAGAGAGCAATAAACAAGACAGGCATTTCAGAAGGTGATCTTGTTTTTCGTAATGGTGCACCATATTGGGCACAAGGATGTGTATATTTCATATACCAATTGCCTACAGATATCTAATATCAATATCTACGTAAACCACGCTATAAGAAGGTAACTGGTGACCCAAAGACATACTGGGGCAGAGCATTACAGGGATATTGTGTTGGACGTTCTCTTACAACAAATCAAAGCAAGGATAATGAAGCTAGTACTAAAAAGGAACTATCCAAGATTATAGCACTAAATTATCCATGTATTGTAGGCAAAGAGCTCACCTGTGAGAAAACACACCCTGGATGTGGTAGGATCATTGCAGTAGTACTGCAACTAGAATGGTTTAAATACACCATGTATTTACTTTCCATGCACAACCACACACAGACCCATTCTATGAAGCTGAGAGATTTTTCTGATTTAAAGTGCCCTTTTATGTATAGTAATGAAGTGTCAGTCAAGCAGTTCTAACTTCAGCCAACAGGGGCGAAAAAGAAACACAAAAGCCCTAGAGATACTCTAACATTCTGGTGGTTTTCTCAAACTGAGAAACAGCACATACATCTACTCCTTAATTACATTTTACGCAACATGCACAAAAAGGCTGCACATGGACAGACACTGATAAAATACCTTCTAGATAAGTAATTAGAAGCTTTTGGTCCAATCCACATGATAGATAAAAGAAATAAGGGACAGAACACACACCCCCCTTCCATGCCTCTTCCACTCAAAATACACAAATCCCATTTTCAGATTAGGAGAGAAAAGGAATAAATAGAAGCACTCTCAGCTCTCTATATACACATACACGTACATATATGCATACATATACACAAAACGTATAGCTATGTGTGCACAAGCACATGCACACACATACATACATAATAGTTGGACATGACCTGAATAACATCATACCAGGAGGCTCTGAACACCCGAGTTCACAGATGCTCAGGTGAGCTGATTGTAGAACTGATTACAGATACCATGAAAATAAAAGTCCTGTGGTAGCTACCAGTCTCTGGAGAGCTTGGTGTTCTGGTCTCTTTTGGGGGGAGCAGGAGGGGGTCCTCTCCGCAGTGTTGCATAGCCTGATATGTGAGTGCCTCCATAACCAGCCTTCTGTTGATCAGACAGCAGTTCAGGAGGTGGCGGGGGCAATGCCATATCATCCATAGTGGCTGTGGGCTCCGCTCTGGACATGCGAGAGGAAGACAGTGAGCTGTGCCGGGTGATGGACTTCCGTTGCAGTGTCCTATTGAGGTCAGCCAAGAATCCAGGCTGGACGCTAAGGCTGGATTTGGGAGAGGTGGGCACTTGTGGCACAACTGTGGCCATTGCTGGCTGCTCAGAGATCTCTGCTTGAGTGAGGCGGGTGTTGTCATTCCGTTTGGGTCTTGTGGGTGGAGGGGCCTTCCTCACTGACGTTTTAGGCCATGGCTGTGGTTGAGGATTCACAACTGCCACTTTTGGAGAGGTGTTTCCCGAGAACACTGCTGGAATCTCTATGGGGGGCAGAGGAAGCTCTATTTCAGGTGGAGGGGGTGGAAAGTCAGAATCCGATGGAGGAGAAGGAAATTCCACTATGGAGTCCTTTCCACGCCCACTCAGAACAGAGGCTTTTGCTGGCACACATCCTTGTTGGAGAACTCCGGGAAGGTTAACTCCAGAAAGATTTAGTTTTCCAGGTTTGGGGGGTGCTGCAGGAGGGGGCAGGGTGTCCTTGCTGGGAGAGCCGGACTCTGCTGGTGGTGCAAACTTGCTGACTAGACTGTCTACCGAGGGTCTCTTGGGCTCGGGGTGTTCCGCACAACCACTGGATTTAATGCTGGAGTTGCGCTGTGGGGTTGGGGGTGGTTTCTTTCCCCCAGGGCTGGATGTTTTACTGGTCTTTTTGCCTGGAGATCCACTTTTGTCAGGGGTAGGAGAAGCCATGAGTGGCTCTGATGGTGGTGGGGCTGGGGCTGGTGGTGGTGGTGGAGGAAACACCAGGCTGCTTTCAGGAGGAGGAGGAGGGAAATCTGGAGAAGGGACAGGGATGGAGCTGGGCTGCCACTTGGGCTTTGCTTTCACAGCAGGAGGGGACTGAGGAGCTACATTTGCTGGGACCAGCTTCAAGGGCTGAGAGTCCATGGAAGGAGGGATTGGAGGTGGGGGGAACTGGCTGGCTATCTGCTTCACGACTGAGGGCACTGGAGACAGTGGGGAAGGAGGGGGTTTTACACAGAAGCTCTGTTGCTTGGGTAATGTCGGTGGGGGCACTGACCCTGGGGGAGAGGGTGGAATGTGAGAAACAGGGAAGGCTACCTGCTTTTTTGCTGGGGGGACTGGAGGAGTTGTTGGTGTGGCTTGTGTTACAATGGGTGACACAGTCTTGGTGCTGGCTGGTGGGGGAATGGTCACGAGGGGTTTGGGTGGGGCTTGGGGAGGGAGGGGTGCCGGTGTGGCAGGAGGTGGTGGTGGTGCTGGAGGGGCCGCCTGAGTAACATGCTGAACTTGATGAATCTTCAGTGGAGGGGGTGGGGGGCTGAACTGTGGAAGGGACGGGGCACATGGTGCTGGCTTTAGCTGGGCCATGGCTGAGCCGGGGGTGGGGGGTGGGGGTGGGG